GGCGTCTTTATCTTTTGAAGAGGGTGATGATCTGTTGGAGTTCCGCAGGTGCTCTGGTTGGCTGAGTGGGTCTGTTGATGTGGGTCTTGGTGTATTTGTGGGAGAGGGTGACTTACAAGCGTCCTTCTACTCCGCCATCTTGCCCGGAAGTCTGGGGTCCCTTCTTATATAAAGAAATATTGTTTTTTTTTGAGGGGGGAGGAGGTAATTAGACTTATTTATTTATTTGAATGGAGGTACTGGAAATTGAACCCAGGGCCTTGTGCATGCTAAGCACACAATCTACCACTGAGCTATACCCCTCACCCCTTTTGTAAAGAAATATTAAATTAAAAATTATACTTTACAACTGCATTGGTAAAAACACTAATAATCTAGTTAGATACATTAGTACACATTCTTTGTTAATATATTCAGTTTTTCCTTCTGCTATTTAAAGAAAATAAAATTAAAACATTTACATGGGACCCTAAAAGTATTTATCTTGGGCCCTAGGCACTGAGCATCATGGATAAGTTAGCTCTGACTGCCATGGGACTTTTCCCTTTTTCTATTCTACCCCCTAATTTGAAAATCCCACAATCACTTCTTTGGTACAGAATGAGGTCCATTGTCTATCATCATTTCTTTAGTCTTTCGGAAAACTCAGTCATGTTCACAACAAGATTCATCCCTCTTTAATCTGAAGTCTATGGTCAACTAGAAAAGCACTTCTTTTTTCAATTGTGTGCTTTATTCTTTGCTTGCAATTGAAGTTGTCTCTATTTAACTGTCATATACCATCAGAAACCATGCCACATATGCCATGATTTATTTGGATCAGAAAAAAATATGCTTAAAAGTATACTTAATAAAAGACATTTTAAGTATACTCAATACATTTAGAAAAGTAATTATCTAATATGAGAGCATCGAGCTCTACCCAAACTATCTTGATAGTTTTACCTCTGAATGAGGGGAAATGTCTGATTTGAAACAGTACCTGTAATTGGTGCATCAGGGCGGGATTGCTCCTTTCTCCATGCAGGCACAAATACAGTAATATCTTTATGGCCTTTATCTAGAAACCAATCCACGGCAAGTTGTATTCCTCTGCAGGAGAACTCTTCTTTATTCCCATGGCTTCAGGAAGATAAGAGAATGAGAAGAGAGGGGATTGACAATAGGTAGCAAAGAAATCAAACAGGTTTTTCCCTGGCACCAAGACATCAACAACAGACATTTTATTTCTTGAGGATGCCAAAAATGTGTTTTTAAAAAGAGCAAATCGAATTATTTTTATTGGATCATTACAAATATTGCCATTATTATTAAAACTTCATTCAAGGCCACAGATGGTTAATAACCCAAACTTGCAGCCCTAAGGCTATTTCTTATCATTATTTCCATTTTCTCTTTTCTCTTCCTATTTTTATTACTACTTCCTTTTCAAAGATTTAGATATTTATCAGATGGAAAAAGGAGAGGTTTCACCAGAGGTTTAGATAAAGTTTATACGGAGGATTAATTGGAGATGAATTTTAAGCACATGTAATAAAGCTTAAAAATAACATTGATAGCAAAAAAGACACACACATAAATGCTGACTGAAAGTAGTTATCAAATTTAATTAAATATAGTGCGCCAGCAAAAATCAGTCTTGACAATTTTAAGATGTGGGAAATGTTCACAATATAATACTATAAGAAAAAAAATACGGACTATATAGAATGTAATCCACATTTTATAGAAGAAAGTCTATGTGCAGTAGTCCCTCTTTATTGTGGTTTCACTATCTGCAGTTTCAGTTATCCATGATCAAGTGCAGCCCAAAGTATTAAATGGAAAATTCCAGAAATAAACAATTCATAAGTTTTAAATTGCATGCACTTCTGAGTAGAGGGATGAAATCCTGTGCTGTCCTGCTCTGGCCCGCCCAGGGGGTGTAAGGTATCATCCCTTTGTCTAGCATATCCCACCCGTTAGTCACTTAGTAATCATCATCTCTGTTGTCAGGTTGACTGTCATGGTATCACAGTGCTTGTGTTCAAGTAACACTTATTTTACTTAATAATGGTTCCAAAGCTCAAAAGTAGTGATGCTAGCAATTTGGATATGCTGAAGAGAGGCTATAAAGTGCTTCCTTTAAGTGAAAAAGTGAAGTTCTTGACTTAAATCAGGAAAGAAAAAAATCATACACTGAGGTTACTAAGATATATAAAAATGTATCTTCTGTTGATGAAACTGTGAAGAAGGAAAAAGAAGTTCATACTTGTTTGCTATTGCACCTCAAACTGCAAAAGCTGTGGTCACAGTGCATGATAAGTACTCAGTTAAGATGGAAAAGGCATTGAATTTGTACAATATTTTAAGAGAGAGAGGGAGACCACACTCATAACTTTTATTACAGTATGCTGTTATAATTGTTCTATTCTATTATTAGTTATTGTTGTTAATCTCTTACTGTGCCTAATTCATAAATTAAAATTTACCATATGTATGTATGTATATGGAAAAACAGAGTATATATAGGGTTTACTACTATCTTTAGTCTCAGACATCCACTGAAGGGCTTGAAATCTATCTCCCATGGATAAGAGGCGGCTACTGTATAAGCTTAGAAAATATACTAGAAAGTAGATACATCCACATGTTCATAAAATTGTTATTCTGTGTGAGAAGGTTATAAGTGATTTATTTTTCTCTAATTCCAAAATTTCCACCCCCAAATTATTATAATTAGAATAGGATATAAAAAGAGAAGACATTCTATCACAATTACTTGTAGGAGTAAACATTGTAAAAGCTTAAAAAGACAAACAGGCTTCATTTTATTGGAACTTGGAATAGGGAAACTTAACAGATGAATTGGGAAAAGATGTTATTTATTGTCATTACCTTCAATACTCACAAATTATATAGTATATTTGTGCCAAGTTTGTGGAAATTCTAATCTCTTAGCATAGAATCTGATGCAATGACATATATATATAAACTGCATTAAATTGAAGTTAATTAAACCTCTTGGATGGTAAAATAAATTGGCATACATGTATCTATTTTATTATAATAAATAGGATCTTGCCTGCCAAACAGAACTAATCGGAAGAAAACTATTTTGCTAGAAAGCTAACTAAGATAATGTGATACGGGCTCTCTCTTTAGATTCCTCACTTTCCCACAAGTACTCACTCAACGACAAGAGAAATTAGCTTTAATTGTAGTGTTCCCTTTGGGTGAATTCATACATAATCTCAGGGCCCTCATTAAGTAATGCAGCGCAAGACTTCCTACTGTTTTATCACTATTGAGACACACGACAAAATTTCATTAAATCCATTTGTTGACGTCTTCAAACACATTCCTTTTTTTTAGTTTTTATTGGTTTATTTTTGTAACATTTTTTATTGATTTATAATCATTTTACAATGTTGTGTCAAATTCCAGTGTAAAGCACAATTTTTCAGTCATTCATGGACATATACACACCCATTGTCACTTTTTTTTCTCTGTGAGTTATCATAAAATTTTGTGTATATTTCCCTGTGCTATACAGTGTAATCTTGTTTATCTATTCTACAATTTTGAAATCACAGTCTATCCCTTCCCACCCTCCACCCCCCTGGTAACAACAAGTCTGTATTCTCTGTCCATGAGTCTATTTCTGTCCTGTAATTATGCTTTGTTTTTGTTTGTTTGTTTGTTTTAGTTTTTGTTTTTTAGATTCCACATATGAGCGATCTCATATGGTATTTTTCATTCTCTTTCTGGCTTACTTCACTTAGAATGACATTCTCCAGGAGCATCCATGTTGCTGCAAATGGCATTATGTTGTCGGTTTTTATGGCTGAGTACTATTCCATTGTATAAATATACCACTTCTTCTTTATCCAGTCACCTGTTGATGGACATTTAGGCTCTTTCCATTTTTTGGCTATTGTAAATAGTGCTGCTATGAACATTTGTGTGCAGGTGTCATACTGAAGATTTCCTTCTGGATACAAGCCCAAGAGTGGGATTCCTGGGTCATATGGTAAGTCTATTCCTAGTCTTTTGACGAATCTCCACAGTTCTCCATAGTGGCTGCACCAAACTGCATTCCCACCAGCAGTGAAGGAGGGTTGCCCTTTCTCCACAGCCTCTCCAGCATTTGTCATTTGTGGATTTTTGAATGACGGCCATTCTGACTGGTGTGAGGTGATACCTCATTGTACTTGTGATTTGCATTTCTCTGATAATTAGTGATATTGAGCATTTTTTCATGTGCTTTTTGATCATTTGTATGTCTTCCTTGGAGAATTGCTTGCTTAGGTTTTCTGCCCATTTTTGGATTGGGTTGTTTATTTTTTTCTTATTGAGTCGTACGAGCTGCTTATATATTATGGAGATCAAGCCTTTGTCGGTTTCACTTGCAAAAATTTTCTCCCATTCCGTAGGTTGTCTTCTTGTTTTACTTCTGGTTTCCTTTGCTGTGCAGAAGATTGTAAGTTTCACTAGGTCCCATTTGTTTATTCTTGCTTTTAATTCTTCTAGGAGAAAACTTTTGAAATAATTTGAGATAATGTTTTGCCTATGTTTTCCTCTAGGAGGTTTATTGTATCTTGTCTTATGTTTAAGTCTTTAATCCATTTTGAGTTGATTTTTGTATATGGTGTAAGGGAGTGTTCTAGCATCATTGTTTTACATGATGCTGTTCAGTTTTCCCAACACCATTTGCTGAAGAGACTGTCTTTATTCAATTGTATATTCTTGCCCCCTTTGTCGAAGATGAGTTGACCAAAAATTTGCGGGTTCATTTCTAGGCTCTCTAATCTGTTCCATTGGTCTTCATGTCTATTTTGGTACCAATACCATGCTGTCTTGATAAATGTAGCTCTATAGTATTGTCTGAAGACTGGGAGAGCTATTCCTCCAGCCTCTTTCTTTCTCTTCAGTAATGCTTTGGCAATTCTAGGTCTTTGATGGTTCCATATAAAAATTTTATTATGATTTGTTCTAGTTCTGTGAAATATGTCCTGGGCAATTGGATAGGGATTGCATTAAATTTATACATTGCCCTGGGAATTGTGACCATTTTAACAATATTGATTCTTCAAATCCAAGAGCATGGAATATGTTTCCATTTTTTAAAGTCTTCTTTAATTTCCTTCATCAGTGGTTTATAGTTTTATGTGTATAATCCTTTCACCTCCTTGGTTAGATTTATTCCCAGATATTTTATTACCTTGCGTGCTATTTTAAAGGGGATTGTTTCTTTGTTTTGTTTTTCTGTTGATTTATCGTTAGTGTAAAGAAATGCAACTGAATTTGAACGTTAATTTTGTAACATGCTACCTTGCTGAATTCTTCAATCAGCTCTAGAAGCTTTTCTGTGGACCTTCAAGGGTTTTCCATATATAGCAACATGTCATCAGCATATAATGACACTTTTACCTCTTCTTTTCAAATTTGGATCCATTTTATTTCTTTCTCTTGCCTGAATGCTGTGGCTAGGATTTCCAGGACTGTGTTCAATAGGAGTGGTGATAGTGGGCATCCTTGTCTTGTCCCAGATTTTAGTGGGAAGCTTTTGAGTTTTTCACCATTGAGTACTATGCTGGCTGTAGGTTTGACATATATAGCTATTATTATGTTGAGATATGTTCCCTCTATACCCACTTTGGTGAGAGTTTTTATCATAAATGGATGTTGAATTTTATCAAATGCTTTTTCTGCATCGATTGAGATGATCATGTGATTGTTGTCCTTTCTCTTGTTGATGTGATGTATTACATTGATTGATTTACGTATGTTGAACCAGCCTTGTGTCCCTGGGATGAACCCCACTTGGTCATGATGTATAATCTTTTTTATGTGTTGTTGAATTCTATTTGCTAATATTTTGGTGAGGATTTTGGCGTCTATGTTCATCAGTGATATTGGCCTATAATTCTCTTTTTTGTAGTGTCTTTGCCTGGTTTTGGTAACAGGGTGATGGTGGCTTCATAGAATGAGTTTGGGAGTATTCCCTCCTTTTCAATCGTCTGGAAGAGTTTGAGAAGCACTGGTATGAGTTCTTCTTTGTATGTTTGGTAGAAATCCCTGGTGAAGCCATCCGGTCCTTGACTTTTATTTGTAGGGAGGTTTTTAATTGCTGTTTCTAT